GTAGTATAAAAGTCTGCGTCGAGCCATCAGAAGAACCATTGACCTGTTCCTTTGCAATTATTTTTTTGTTTGTTTGTTTTATTTTTTGTCGGGACCATCGGGGCATGATCAGCGTTGTGACGCCGTGTTCGTCTCCTTTAACCACAATATTAGAAATTTTTCTATATAAATATCATTTTAGCGATTACAGTGTCACAAAACAAAATGACCAAATTGAGAGCAGAAAAAGCAACTTGTTACATGGCGCGGTATTATAAGAAGGAGGAGTGCTTCTTGAAATGTGTGCAATTAAATTTTTTAAGCTACAGTTAAACAAAGAAAATTAACAGAATGCACGTGGTGTGCAAGTGGTACTTCGAAAAAAAATCGCCATTTCATGTCAAGGTATTCTAATTGATAAAATCGCGAAATTGTGTGTTAAAAATTAAAAGTCGAACAATCCTTACGATTTTTAATGAAGGGACGGCTGCTTTTAAGTCAACCCACCGAGGTTTTCAGTACTCTTCTAAAAACATATTTGTCAGTTGTTTATGCAGTTTGAATTAGGAGGACTGCTACTCAAAACCAAGAGCGAAAATATCTTATGCTATGACTAGGCGACTGACTAGGAGCTCGGCGCTGCACGTTTAAACTGAACACCTATCTATCAACACAATATAACAGTCACAGGTAGTATCAAAAGGTCCAAAAGGGATGTCATTTTCACGCTTAAAATTAAAGCTAGGCGATAAGTTAGGCTCTAGCTATCAAGCATAATACAATTTGGAATTTGCACACACAAGAATACCTAGCGCTAAATCAATCGAAGAGCCCTGAAAACCCTTACTTGAAAGAAGAGTTTACAGACAAAATAGTAGAAGTTGAGCTAATTAAATTCTGGTTATCAGAAATCGATGCTACTAAACCCTTCTTCTGTCGTTTTCAATCGAGGGAGAAGAAAAAGACTGCTAATTGTATCCTTAACTTTTGCTCAGAGCATTCTTGATTTTCGTGTTTTATTTGCTTAGCGTATTTGGCTGCGATTGTCAGGTCGATAGATAATCCTTTCGAACGGAGGACGTCTGCAAGAGAAAGCTTAACTCGTAATATATATAATTTGACTTTCATAAGTGCTCAACGCCTAGTGGCTGATCGAGTCTGATCGATAGACCAGCGATCTAATGAGTAGCTAATGTCGACTGTAAGATCTCTTTAAAACACAAGTTTTCGAATGCCCAAACGACAGTCTTCAACGGATCAAATGATAAAAGAAGTGAGAAAAAGTCTCAGGTACAGTGTGATAAAAAGAGTTCAATAGTATATGGAAATACACTTCAAAATGTTTGGTAAGAAGAATACTGTATTGTGTTGGGAATGGACAAGACACACTTGAGGTTGTTGTCATCACGCATATGACTAAACTGAGAGGTACGGAAATGATCATCAATACTTGTTTGCGGCACTTGAAATAAAATCCGGATGGTCCTGGATTAACGACAACATGTGCTATCAACAAAGATCAGTGAAATGACTCTTCGTTAAGGCTATTAAGTTATTTGATGAGCTGGTTAGAAAGTATTACGTTATCGGCCGCTGACACGATTAAACTTGCCAAAAATAATTAGTTGACATTCCAAGAGCTGATGACAATATTACAAGTACTTGGTCACGCGTTGACTTCCAGGTCACTTTCCAGGGGAATCGCGAGCAAACGACAAATAACATTCCAGAAATACTTTCATTATTCACTGTTTGCGTCTTGTTTGTCCTAAAAGCTACTTGATAAACTTATTTGTGTTCACAGTTCTGCGCAGAGCAGTTTAGTCGTAAAAATGACTGCGCTTTTGATGCCATATTTTGACTTTTTTATTAACGAATACGTTGAAGGTTAAGAGTATGGCTAACAAGTAACACATGTTATTGTAGAGTGTTAGATAAGTCAATTTAATTAAGTGTTCGTTTCCGTTAACCACAATATTAGAGGTGTTTCTATATAAATATTATTTTAGCGATTATGGCGTCACAAAAAAAAAAGGCCAGATTGAGAGCAGAATAAAGCAACTTGCTACATGGTGCGGTATGATTATGATAAAGAGCAATGCTTCTTGAAATGTGTGCAATTAATTTTTTAACCTGTTGTTAAATCAGGAAATTTAACAGGACAAAATGCAAGTAGTGCTCAAGTGGTACCTCGAACAAAAATCGCAATTTCATGTCAAGGTATTCCGATTGATAAGATCGCGAAATTGTGCGTTAAAAATCGCAAGCAAGCAACCCCTTAGGATTTTAACTGACGGGACGGATGCTCTTAAGTCAACCTACCGAGGTTTTCATTACTCCTCTAAAAACATATTTCTCAGTTGTTTATGCAGTTTGAATTAGGATGACTCCTACTCAAAACTAAATGCAAAAAAATCTTAAGCTATCACCATTCTTAGACCAAACAGTTATCTATTGATTCGATGTAACAGTCAGAGGTAGTATCAAAAGATTCAAAAAGGCTATCATTTTAACGCCCTAAATTAAAACTAGCCGATAACTTAGCCTCTATCAAGCAAAATATAATTTGCAGTTTACACACACAAGAATACCTAGCGCTAATTCAATTGAATAGCTCTGAAAACCCTTACTGATGAGCCGGACTACTTCAAATACAGACCAAACAATTCAAGTTCAGCTAATTATCTGGTTATAAAAGATCATTTCTACTAAAGCCTTCCTCTGTCGCTTTTAATTCAGGGAGAAGAAAAAAGACTGCTAATTGTATCCTTAACTTTTGCAGAGAGCGCTCTTGATTTTCAGTGCTTTATTTGCGTGACGTATTTGGCTGCGATTGTCATGTTGATAGATAATACTTTCGAACGAAGGACGTCTACGAAAGAAAGCTTAACTTATAATAATACATCGACATTCATACATTGGTTAACGCCTCGACGGCTAGTAGTTGATCGGGTCAGATCGATAGACCGGCGATCTACGGAGTAGCTGATGTGGACTAAGAAATTTCTTTAAAACACAAGTTTTCGAATGCCCAAACGACAATCTTCAACGGATCAAATGATAAAAAAAAAAGTGAGAAAAAGTCTCAAATAAAGAGAAAGAGAATACCGCATTGTCTTGGGAGTGGACAAAACACCCTCGCACTGGGGGTCGTCATGGTGTGCCAAGGTTCATAACACTTTCTAATGTGATAATTACCTTTGAATGATAAACTTTTAAATTCAAGGACATGGTCATGAGACCATGCATGATTTACAATCCTGGATCTTTTGGCCATTGTTTAAACGTTGTTTTTGTGTTGTTTATGGGTGAAGCGAATGACGAAGTAGCGGTTCCTCTAATATTTGATCATAACAGTTTGATAGTGCAGTAGACTACAGTGTCCATTGAAAGTAGTGTCTGTGACTAGAGCTGGTTTTTTACACTTAAGGTTGTTATCATCACGCATATGCCTAAACTAAGAGGTACTTCATCTTTCAGAACGGAAATGATCATCAATACCTGTTTGCGGCACTTGAAATTAATCCGGATGGTGCTGGATTAACGACATTATAGAAGTTATTGAATGATCCTGAACTCGGCTCCACTTTCCAAAAAAAAGCCGACCTTTTTTTTCCGATTTTAGCTTGAAAAAAAAAAAATGAACACGATTGATAACTAGGATGTGATAACTAATTTGATTTGAATCCACTGAGCCAGTTACATATTAGGGTTGACTATTGATTGATTATGTCGCTGAAACAGGCAGATCTTGTAATACGACGATAAGGCTTTGTTCGTACTACGTGAAATTATGTATTTAAAAAAAAAAAACTTTGTCAACACGAAACCATTTTTTTTTTTTAATTTGTCTTGTGGAAAGCATCAATAGTTTCACTATAGACCTACATGTACCCCTCCAGGCAATGTTTCGAATAGCTATCGCTGCTTTTAATTTAATCAAGGGCCAAGGACATTCAACAGTGCAGAAATACTTTTAGTGTTCACTGTTTGCACTGTAAGATCATGAAATTATTTTTTTTCCTTTGGGCTACCCGATAAAATTATTAATATTCACCAGCCATGTGTAAAGCAGTTTCGTCGTGAAAGTAACTGCATTTTAGGGGCCATATTGTGAGTCTTTCTTAGAATGATAATAATAATAATACTAACTTTATTTCAACAGTCACAATTGATTAAAGATAAAATAATTAAAAGTTTAGAAAAGGTTACATAATAAGAGATGGTAAGGCGAGCTTATGGCTAGTTTATATCTAAAACATAAACCAGCCGCTTAACTAGCCAATTGACTTTCTTCTCTTACACGATCGAGCAGTTTTCAATTGAGTGTCGTAAAACCAAAACCAAAACCAATTACTTACCAATTACACCACTTAGTCAATCTCAAACCGTAGTAAAACCATAACCAAAGTAATTGTCTGATTACGTTAGACACTCAATTGAAAACCGCTCTATTACGTAATAAACCGATTCACGATTACACTTGCGAAAAATAGTTAGTTGACATCCCAATAGTTGACCGTTTAAAAAGCAGTTGGACACCCGTTGACCTTTCAGGAGAATCGGGGCAATGACTTTATAGAAATGTCAGAAACACTTGGCGGGTCCACTGGTTGTCCTCAAGATCACACGATATACTTTTTTGTGCTCACTGCTATGCGCAGAGAAGTTGAGTCGGGAAAATGACCGCGATTTTAATGATATTGTGACTCTTAATTTAATATGAAGATTAACATTAACGAAATGAAAGGTACAAGTTATATAAGTTATTGTTGAGTATACATAAGTTATTAATATAACAAATTAGAAAAGGATGTATCTCTGCACCAATTTCAACACTTCGTGTAACAAAAAAAAACGCTGACCTTTCTGTTTTTTCTAAGTTTAGCTCTGTGAACAACGAAAACGTGTGGCTTGGTACGATAGACAACAAAGGGTTGCTGTTTGTTACAATGGGTTGTTGTTTGTTACATTAGGGTTCCAGGCTTATAATTGGTTCGATTTTGGGTGTGTCATTCAAGTTTAAAGCAAAACCCTCAGCGCCGAAGTCCCATTCACCCTGGTGATTTGGAAGAGAGCAGAGTCGAGAACAACAAGAGTTGTATTAGGCTAAAATCTTACTTGCGTCTACCATCATGGTAAGTGCTGCATGAGGAAAGGTTTTGTTTCGTTTTTGACTGATGAATTTACCCACCTCCTTATTCTGAATTAGTGACTGATCTTAGATTTATCCCAATTTCTTTCCGCAGAGTGTGATTAAACCAGAAATGAAGATCAAGCTGCGTATGGAAGGAGCTGTAAACGGGCACAAGTTCGTGATTACAGGGGAAGGAAGAGGCCAGCCTTTCGAGTAAGTAGAAGTTTAGAAATGTTTAATCATTGAGGTCAGTTTTACGGCATCCTTGCTCCGAACATTGCTTAGTTTTATTCATTTTTTTTCTATTAAACAATACGTAATATACCGAGAATACGTTTTAAGCCGTATTTCATTCAGGAAATCGCAGCAGATAAAGGGTATATTTAGCTTTCCTTCGATTTTACGACCCTTAAGGCTACCGTTTCCAGACCCAAAGCGCGAAAAAAAAGTACCTGCGATTTGCCATATTTAATTTCCGTTAAAAGTAACAGAAAAAAAAAAGAAAAAAAAAAAGCAAGGAAAAATGATAAAAAGCATGGAGTGCCCGTAGACATGTTTTTTTTTTCCCCGTTAATTTAAATATGTATGTGTCAAACTAGCTACTGTCTAAAATTGGAGGACAAACGAACAAATTCTCTTTGACTTGTACCTTTTAAAAAGGACTTAAAAGGTTGCTTTTAGAGGTCGTGAAAAATTGGTCAGTTGATTTTATCTCCAACTTCTTGGTATACTGTGATAGCCAGTTCTTTAAGCTTTATTTTGATATGGGGTTTAGGTATCTACAGTTTAAACCGGACGCGCTAAATCGTTTGGTTACGAGACACCTCTAAAGGTGCTCTAAAGATATACGAACGAAGAAGATAGGGAGAAAGTCTACATCAAGACTTTCAAAAATTAATTCTTATCCTTGCCTAGAAATCGAAACCTAAAACCTAAAGAAGATTGTGGGGCTAAAAGACTCCACTTGCTATGTACTTCTTAGCCAGGCAGCATTTACCTAAACAACAAACCCTTCATAACCCTAAGTTTTCATAGGATTACAGACATCGTCTCTGGTGGGACCAGACCGTTAAGTTTCTAGTTATTTAACCTCTCCATATCTAGTTTATGAAGTGATTTCCGGCTTCATTTCTCACGTTCTTTTTTTTTTTTGTCCTGTTTCTCGTTTCTTTGTCACTTAGAAAAATTGGTCGTTGCGTCGTCATTTTTGTCAAAGTAAGCACTGAAAAAGTGCGCACCATTCAAAAGAACGAGCAACCAAGTAACTCAGTCAAACGGAACTTACTGTACAGTGTGGGTATAGATAATTGAGGAAAATGGTAATGAAACCTAGCAAAGTTCTTTGCTTTATGTTTTTGTTGGCTATTTTGGGGTTGACCCTGCACAAAACTTAGTAATATACAAAAGGCGGTTATGTGTGCTCACGTAACTTTCCAATAGAAGCATTACGATTGTGTAATTCATACACAATCAATGAGCATAAAACGAAAGATGTGCAGGGTCAAGGAACTTCCAACAAAAATCGTAGCCTGTCTGTTTGCTTCTTTGAAGTTTACCGGCCTTCCTAACCATTTCCCTCTATTATATAGTTTGGTGGTGTAAAAAAAAAAAGCCACCAAATATTTACCAGAAAAACAACAATCACACGGTTCTGAACTGAAGTTTGAGGTCAGATTGTCAAAGCCAAAACCAAATATTCACTTGTTTAATAAGGGCTTTATCTACTAACAGAATGTTGTTGATGAGAATTTCAGAACTATTCTTCGATTGCCATCAACCAACCAAAGTTGATACGTGTATTGGGCGTCATTATCCAAGGACTTTGTAACAGAGAAAAGAAGTTCTGCATTGCGTATGCACACTAAGTTTTCTTACGTCTTTGGTTTCTTGTTTGTGTTTTAGGGGAAAACAGAATATGGATCTGACAGTCATAGACGGTGGACCTCTGCCTTTCGCTTTCGATATCTTGACAACAGTATTCGATTACGGCAACAGGGTATTCGCCAAATACCCAAAAGACATCCCAGACTATTTCAAGCAGTCGTTTCCTGAGGGGTATTCTTGGGAACGAAGCATGACTTATGAAGACGGGGGCATTTGCATCGCCACAAATGACATAACGTAAGTAAGATGTAAGGCTGATGCCTCTCACCAAGAAGTTTTATAGGAACTTTTTAGTTCCATTCAAGTCACTTAAATTTGTGCCCCTTCTTAATCTCTTTCGCCCCGAATTTTTCTTTCGGTACAGTTTTACATTTCTTATTCCTTTCTTGCTATATTAAGTGTGAACCACAGCCTTAAAGTCCGTACAATCCCAATTTTTTTTGGTCCAAAAAATATCGATACATTATTGGTCATAATACTGAAAACATTTTTGCCTTTGGTTAAGACCGAGGGGTTTTTTTTTTTATGAATTTTCAAAGTCGTGAAAGCTTTAATGAAAACAATTACCGAGTCGAAGAGCCAGTCAAAAGGATCTGGGTCTAGAGCATTTCGTGACGTCATACAAGGAGATTATTAGCAAATCATTCGCACACATATACTTGCTCGCCTCAGTTATTGTAACATTATTCTGAGCAAGAAAATGCGTATCAAACTGCCAGAGCCGATCAAGTTCTTGGCAGTGTATATTAAGCGCCTCAGCATCCTAGATTTGGGAAGATTTCATTGTCAGGTTTGATCGAACGGCGAGTCTGCAGTGAAGAATGGCTAAATATGAAATTAAAATTACAAGGGCTTTGTTTCTTTCGGGTTACAGAAATTTGGTGGAATTCGAGGTAATTAATCTTCTCGACTCAAAGTATTATCTTTGTTTGAATGTATTGAGTGATTCTGGTGACTGCATCTGATTTGCGTCAGAGTTTCAAATCTTGTCAGTCTGTTTACACGTACTACGTGAATGATCAACTCGATTCGTAGCACTTCGCATTTGTGTATTGTTTATTGATCTGAAAGAATAGCCACCACACCACCACAAAAAGTTAATACGTGATACTTTCGTCGGAGAATTGCCATGCAAATAGTTATCCTAAGTTAGAGTATTCTGAAATTCTATTTGCAAATCTTCGAAGCGATTGGGGTTTATTTAGTTCAGCTTTGCATTCCCTGTGGAATAAGTGCGCTAAATCAACTAGTGTTTTCAAGCTCGTGGAAAGAGTCTTCCGGAGTTTAGAATCTGAAGAATATAAACGTGCAATACATCTAAAAAACTTATATGTTTAAGATCGCAAAAAAGGTCATTTTATTGACATACTTCGGAAATTCCTTACTACTCCTCAATATCTACTCCTCTTCCCTGTTCTAACTGGCGCCTCTATCATTATTGGACGACTCTAGCCAGTTCTCCATTGCCTTCGGTCGTGTGCTAAATAATCCCGACTTAATAAATTCGCGGTTTTAACCAACAACACAGCTGGTTGCCGCATTTTGCGCCATGCAATACAAAGATTTAATCGCGCTAAAAATGTATTTTGAGGTGATATGCACTTTAAGGCATTTTTCCAAAATGGTTCTCTCTGTGTATAATAAAAGTGACAAATAGCCGCTGGTTTCAGCTGGTATCATCTATTAAATTACTGATATTGCCAACCATGCTTGTAAATGACAAAGTGTTCCTTTTATCTTTGTATGGTAACACTGACTATGTTTTATTTCTTTTTTATTAGACTGAAGAAAGACGTCGACAYATGTGACTGCTTTTTCTATGAAATTCGATTTGATGGAGTGAACTTTCCTGCCAATAGTCCAGTTATGCAAAAGAAGACCGTTAAATGGGAGCCATCCACTGAGAAAATGTATGTGCGTGATGGAGTGCTGAAGGGTGATGTTAACATGGCTCTGTTGCTTGAAGGAGGTGGCCATTACAGATGTGACTTCAAAACTACTTACAAGTAAGTTTTTCTTTTTTATTAGGCGTTTAAGATAGTGATGACTCGCAGTAAGGAGACATGAATAGGTTCATCAAGAGATGTGTAAGTTTTAGTGGTTGCTGTTACAGTGGAATCAGTGACCTCAGCTCCGACTTCTAGATTAGAGATGCGCCATGTGGGGTTTGGTGTTGAACAGGACTCCAAAAATACCTGAACCCCAAAGGCAAGATCCAGTTAGTTACCCAGCGAACAACCTTACCTAGGAGAAAATATATATATATATATATTTTTTTTTTTTTTTTCATCATGATAGTCAACTTTGGAAGCTGGTAACGATCAGTGCTAACAGTTTTCAATTTTAAAACAGTATCGTATTTGTTATATGTTGATAGAGCCGACCTATTTTCACTAATTCGAGCTCGTTTGCTTCTTCGCATGTAGAGCCAAGAAGGTCGTCCAGATGCCAGACTACCACTTTGTGGATCACCGAATTGAGATAACATGGCATGACAAGGATTACGACAATGTTAAGCTGTATGAGCATGCAGAAGCTCATTCTGGGCTGCCAAGGCAGGCCAAGTAAAGGCTTTGACGAAAAGCCGAGACGACAACAAGCAGAAGAAAACTCTTTTTTTTTTTGTTAGTTAAAAGCCATTTGCTCGGAATTAGTGTTTGATACAATCGATTCAAGGTTTTCTTTTGGGATTTGATAAGCACTCGCTTTACAGTCAAATTTAGTTAAAGATAGAATTACAGTAGTAGTCAAATATATACAAATACGAAAATAATAGTGAGAATAAGCTTGTTGTCGAAACCAGGTTTTTTAGAGTGTCCTTGTCATGGAGTACTGGTTTTTGAAAGATTTTGAATTGTTTTCCTTCCCCTTCTTCTGACCTTTTGTTTGTTTTAAAAGGCAAAATACAACAAAAATGGTTCAAGATTTAAAAAGTGTTTATCAAGTTGCGTGATTCTCTACGTGATCGGTAATTACTGATAATGGATTGGACGAATTTTGCCCCGTCCATTTTGGCCATCATGGCTCGCTCCTGAAACCTATACTTACGAATGTGCTTTAGTCGATTTTCCAACTTCCAGTAAATTTATTACTTGGGGAACTCTAGGAATTAAATTCTGATGTGTCCTTTAGGTATATCAATCCATTTTTAATTCTGGATATTCATCTCGATTTGGGTGCTGCCTCTTGTTTACAGTATCGTAGAACAGTTGAGAATTGAGTCGTGTTGTGTTTATTTGATTAAACTTAGGTTTCTCTCCGGAAAATAGTTTCTAGTATACGCTTGCCATTAAAAGCTGTATTGAATGATTTTAGGTATAAGTTTAACATAAGTGAAAAATATGGCTAGTAACAAAAATAGCGTGATGAATATATGCTAGCAATCTTTTGAGTCTTAAGTTGTTATGGAAAGATATCTAGTGTGTGTGCATCTAATTAAGTGTTCGAAAATACCTATAATCTGCAATTATGAGAAGAGGATTTTGAAAAGGAGCCATACTGTATGTGAATAACAGAGAAGAACTTTCTGAGAAGTG